TATAATTAACAGAACATTTGTCATGATAGGTTATATTAGAAATGTTTGCCCAGTGATCAAAAAATAAAAATCACAGATCAAGAAAATGGCAGAGCTGTTCTTAGAATATATGTTTCTGTCTTCTGGTCCAAATTCCCATATTCTGTCACTTTAGCTTGTTTCCCCTTTTTTTTAAGCCCAGCTGCTGGTTGTTGTGTACCAGCAAGTAAGAACCGACTCACAGCTGACCCTCCAACAAGTTTCAGAGGCACTAAATCACCTACCAGGGGATTTCTTTCTCTCATGTAGCAGCTGGTGTATTTGAACCTTGTGACTTTGGGTTGGTAGTACAACTTATATCAGTAAGCCACCAAGCTTTTTACTGCTGGTTTATTGGACCACTTTTCAACCACCTGGTCATCGATAAAATTAATTTTATGAGAACTGTATACTCTATATTAGAAGCTTTGATCTGTATAAAATTTATGGATAACTATTCACCTGTTTCTTTCAGATTTTTGTTTTTCCTTTCTAGTAGTTTGTGTTGACTATTTCCTTTGTCCCTTTGTTATATAACACTTTTAGCCTAGATCTGTCCCTAGTTTTATTCTGCTTTTTAAAAAACCAAAGACTGACTACATGTGTTGTTATTTGCCGTTGAGTCGCGACCCCACGTACAACAGCCCTAAACCCTGCTCTGTCTTGTGCCATTCGCACTGCCTCCGACACACTCATCCTGACTAAGCAATTAATGTCAAATGTGGGGGAAATCTTCTATCCACCCAATATTATTAGTTCTCCTAATATTTTTTATTTGTAAACCACTTGGTTCTTGTAGAGCAGAAACTACCAAAAAGGTCAAATCATTCAATCTCTGGATAGTGAACTAGGAGATGTTGGTTTTCATATGCAGAACAGATCATTTGGGAGGCTGGACTTTATGAAGAAGAATATGACATCAGGATTGGAGGAAGACTCAACTTTTCTGTGTTAGGCAGATGACACAGCCTTGCTGAAAGTGAAGAGGACCTGAAGCATTTGCTAGAAGGTCAAGGACTGCAGTCTTCAATATGGATTGAAGTTCAACATCAAATTTGGCAACACCATGGTAGATGCAGAAGAGATGAGGTTGTTAACAGCTTCAGCTTGTTCGGTTCCATAATCAACACTCTTGGTACCAGCAGCCAGGAAATCAGAAGATGAATTGCATTAAGAAAATCTGCTCTTGAAGACCTCTCCAGAACACTAAAGAGCAACTGTGTTAGTCTAGAGACCAAGGTGTTCCTGATACAGGCCATGGTCTTTGCAATTACTTGCTGCTGTGCATCGGAGAGTTGGACAATGAGGGACTAAGGATCACACAAGAAGAATATACCATTGAGTGGTGAAGGAGAAGAGTATTGAGCATTCCATATTTCTGTCCATATTTTCTTTTTTTCCCCTATACCTTCCTGCCTTCTTTCTTTGATCTTTCTTTGGTGGCAGATTGTTTCAAGGTGTAACACCTTTTGAAGGTAATATTACTAACCTTATAAAAAGCCTGTCTATTGTTTGGCTGAAAGTTGACTGACAGTGATGACTTTAAAAGGGAAAGTATTCTATGATCCCATTCATAAAATAGACAAATGCATAGACAAAAACCTATACCTTAAAAGAAAATGTGGGGGGTGACCCTATGCCTGTCTCAGGTGGCATTGTTACTAGGAGACACTGAATTTCCATTTAGAGAAAGATCTGAAGTGTAGAAATGCTTGCACAAGATAATGTAAACTTACCTGCATATTTAAAGTGGCAAATTTGTTATGTAGTTAACTGAAAATATGTTCCATTAAAACAAGTGATAAAAAAGTGGTAGAACTGAGACTTGTAAAAGGTGAAAAACATAACAGTCTCGACTTGTGTCTGACTCTCAACATGAGTCACTCTTTTTGAGTTTTCCTGCTCTTGACAAGTTTTGGTTCCCACAGGTTTTACACAAAGCAAAGTTTTTCTAGCAAAGTGGCAAAACTAACTGTATCCTTGCAAAGACAGAAAACTTTTAAGACCTTAAAAAACAAAACTGTCCAGCTGAATTCTGGCCGTCACTGTTTATATTTTATAATAAAATCTTTGCATTTTTATTATTATTTAGCCTGTTTGAATCAAAGAGTAGATGCTACTCCCTGATGACTTTATATTCTCAGTGACAGGATTTCTTTTTATTCCAAGTTTTTGGGTTGTTTTTTTTTTTTTTTTTTACTATGTATACCTATTTTGCTGGATCTGAGACTATGGAATTTTAAAAAAGATGACTGATGCCATTAAACTGATACTCTTAAGAGGAAGACCTAAAGTATATA